CTGCTGAACTTCTTTTGGGATCGGAAGGAAGGGCACAGCTTCCGCAGTCTGTTCCCCTTTCACTGTCCCTAATGCTGCTTAACCTTTCTACTTCTTCCTTGAGCTCTGCCAGCAGGCACAGCAAATCATTCACCTACTCACACAGTATGCAGGTGTGACTCACACTGCCCTCTGAAACTAGTGCCAGACCGAGGCACTCTGCAGCAGTGACCTGAACAAGCTGCGTCCTGCACAGAGGGTCCTGCCAGGCTTACAACATTCCTACTGGGAGCGGCAGCAAGTTTTCGCTCATGTAGACACCACTGATGGGTCTAGCTGAGCTAAGGGAGAAAACGAAAGAAAAAAACCAAAGAAAATAAGAAGCACTAACGCTCCCCCCTCCTGTTCGCAGCACTCCGGGTCGCTTGCGCTCCCTGGGGCGGTCTAAATTCCCCACCAACGAGCACGGTCCCGCCCCGGCCAGACGGCAGAGCCTCCCGCCAGCCGCCAGAGCCTCCCGCAGGCAGCCGATCATCAGCGGTGCTCAATCCAACTGCTCAGCACCCGCAGATCGGCCCCTTCCTGCTTATAGACTGGGCATGACATGCCATGATGGGGAATATCCCTTCGGCTAGTTCAGGTCACCTGTCCTGGCTCTGCTCCTTCCCAGTTTTCTTGTGTACCTTCTCACTGTCAGAGCATGAGACACAAAAAAGAAAATGTCCTTGATTTAGGATAAACACAACTTAGCAGAAACCAAAACATTAGTGTACTATGAACAGTATTATCACTCTGAATCCAAACACTGCATTACACTAGCTACTGAGAAAATTAACTCCATCCAGGCTAAAACCAGCACATTAAGAAAAAGACTTTCATAGGAAATTGCCTTCCCGGCCCCAAGCTCATAAATCAGCTGACATTAAGTTTTTCTACCTCTAGTTCTGTACCCCACAGCAATCCTGTTGTGATTGAGATGTTGAACACACAAAACAAAGAAATTAGATTGTGGAATCAACTATTACAAACACAATATCCTCTGAGGCTCTTACTCAGCATCTCATTTGCATATTTCTGAATTGCATGTTAGTACTAATTGCCAGTGACAAGCTCAGTAGCAACAGGAGCATCTGCAGTGCTTCAGAAAGTATACATGGAGAGATGGGCATGGGCAAGGCAAGCAGGGAAGGGCTGTAGACATGAGGGATCTTGCCTGTGCACACAGAGGTCACACTGAGCCTGTGGCTGCATGGCAAACCCAGGAATTAGGGCACTAAATTTCCTAGGCAGGATTTAAACACCTCGGAGCCAAGAAAAAGCAATTTAAACTGAACAAAATGGTGCAAGAAGCTCCTTTTCACCTGCCCTCAGCAAAACTCAGGCAGAGTCACCTGCTCTGGAAGGCAACAACCAGGACATGCTCACCTGGGAGAGATGTAGGTGTTTCTGGCCCACAGCTCCCACCTGCTGCCTTCTAGCAGCATGGAAACAGGAATGGAATACTAAAGGCTCCTAAAATTCCTGGGTTTAGCTTTCAGACCCCCAAGTAGATCTGCTTTGCCTGCTGGTTTGTATTTCTAGTCTCACCTTCCCCTGTTGTTGTCCTCTCTTCCCCTTTTCTCTCAGTTCAAATCATTTGTTTAACACAGCTGCAACAAGATCCAACAGAATTAGCAGGAATTATATCCCATGCCCCAGGAGCTGGCTGGAAATTCTGTGCCTGGATTAGAGAGCAGCATCAAAAGGCAGAGGATAAAGGAGAGCTGCCAGGATTGCTCTGTGTCGCTCTAGAAAGCAAAGGGGCACACACAAACATTCCCGCTGGGAAGTACAGCCCAACAAAAAGGCTCCACGGCCAGAGGCCAGGACTGCCTGCTGGAGAGTCATGTGATGACAGGAACGAAGCAGCTCCCAAGCACAGCCCACAAAAAGCATCACCACAGCCCATACCACCTCCTATACCATTCACAAAAATAAGAATCTTATTTCTTTCTGTATATTTCTTTCTTTCTATAATACATGAATAGAAGATCATTTGGTTTTGTTAATGTAGCTAAATATACTTTATAAGTTATTTGGAGAGCTTTGTCTCTAAGCCAGCAAGTACTGCTCTACCCAGTGAAGGAAATCTTTAGGAATGTTCCTTTGAAGTACTTTAATTTCAAGCAGCCAATGATGGAATTCTAAGTGAGTTTCCACACTGCCAAGAGACTGCGATTCTGACAGGATCCACACTTGGCACCTGGTTAGAAGTGAAAAGGTTCCTCTCCTCACACTCAACCCCAGTCCTCAGTTACCACTGCAATCTCCCACTCAACACAGACAACTTACAAGTACAAACAATTGGCACCAAATCAGTCAAAGACTCTTCAAGAGCAAACCTGGAACTCAGACAAAGTCAGAGGAACCTCCTCCCACACCCTTACAGTCCTCATTAGTGCAACTCTGCCACAGAATCTTCCTACAAAGACACCTGTAACCCAGGTGCAAAATGATTAAAAAAAAACCCCTGCATGGATAAATCTCAAAGGATTAGTGTCAGAAATTATTTGGCAGCTGGAGATTGGAAGAAAACCATGAAGGCCTAACAGAAGCAGCTACACCACTCATTTGGGAGGATGTTGTTGAAGCAGAAGGTTTTAACTATTCAAGCTTTTCATCTCCTTCCTCCACATCCTTCAGACTGAGCACTTCCAGGGATCCTTTCCCCTTGGTCTCACTCCGGATCAGCTCATCGATCTCCCTGAAGCAGCCTGGGTCGATGAGGCACACCTGGAATGGGTCACATTGCACCAGTCAAGGGAGCAGATCTGAATTCCAGCAGCCTAACATGCACAAGGGCTGCTTTTTGCTTACCATTTCCAGCTGTTCGTGGAACTCTTCATTCTCAATGACTTTAATCAGTGGCTTGAGCTTCTCTTTCAGTTTCTTCCCTTCCTTTGCTGGGAGGATAAACTTCAGCCTCATGTGAGCACGTTCAATTTGCATCGTTTCCTTCAGCTGCCTGATCACCTCCAGGGCCTGTAAGGACATGGAGTATTTACACTCCTGCTTCAAACCTACCACACAGATCAACATCTCCACCCCCCTGCAGCAGCTTCAGACCCATCTCAGTACTGGTCACTGCTTCTCTGCTGCAAGGAGGTTGCTATCAACCTCTTGAGCTGCCAAGATGGCTGAGTCATCCCTCTCTGGGCACCAGATCCCAGGGCTTTGCTGATCCCTCTCTGCCTGGGAGCTGAAGAATTACACTGGAGACAGCAACTGGGAGTAGGAGCTGATTTTGCAGGAAAACTCACCTGCTGCTTTGTGCTCTTGTTGGGTTTGACAGAGTAGTGAATGTCCTTCATGGCTCTCTCTATAAGGATCACTGTGTACGGCCTCTTGGTTTCAGGGTTCACACACTTGTCAGCCACGATAGTGGCAATGTCTCGAAACATCTGCTCCAGCTGTGTGTGTCGTTCCTTGTCTGACACTTGCAGCTCCCCTTTGGATAAAATCTGTGCCACAACAGGAAAGACATCAGTTAAGAAACATCCCAGATCTCATCACAGACTCCTGGCTGAGGCACTGCTGCCTCAAGAGATTCATTCTGAGGTCTCATCACCCACAGCAAGTTCACAGTTCACATCCTACCAATGACAACTGAGAGATTAGCTCTAGTTTTAACCCTTAATTGAACTCTCCCAAGTAAACAACTGTTCCCTTCCTTTCTCTGCATCCTTACTAATGTATCTTAGGTGAGAAACTCCTCAGTCCTGGCTGTGTCTGCAGACATCAATGCACAGAACACTCAGAACTCTTTTAGCACACAGGAATTTAAGGCTATATCAGAGAGTCACTGCTCCTTTCTACCCATTTCATACCAACCAACCCCTTTCACCCACAGCAGCACAGCATTCTGCAAACAACTTCCAGTACAAACTGAGTGCCTCTGGGACTTCCTCAAGCTTTTAGAAGGCAAATGGTGTGACACCTACCATCTTACAGATTTCTGTTTGGTCTTCTGTCCCAAATGCCTGAACCAGATCTTCCTTCTTCGCCACTTGACCTTTGGAGACGTTGACAAACACCGTGTGTGTCTGCAGGACCTCGTCCAGATCTTTTTCCCTAGGGATTAGGACAGGGTTAGACAACTTCACAGAATCAGCCTGGAATGGTTTGGGTTGAAAGGGACATGAAAGGTCACTCAGTTGCACCCCTGCCATGGGCAGGGACACCTTCCACTAGCCTAGAGTGCTCCAAGCCCCATTCAGCCTGGCCTTCCAGGGATGGAGCAGCCATAGCTTCTCCGGACAACCTGTGCCAGTGCCTCGCCTCAGCACCAGGGAAGGATTCCTTCATAGTATCTAATGTAAATTCCAGGCAGCATGGAAGCTAGTGGTGGGAATTCTTGCCTGACTCAGCTCAAGGGCTACAGGTCTGCCTTTCCCTTATGTTGAACAACTCTGTCGGTATTCCAGGGAACTCCTCTTCTTCAGGAAAGCCAAGAAACAAAACAACCTGCAGTGCACAATGCAACAAAAGCCTCAAACATTCCCAGGATGTGAAAACTCATTTCTCAGCTAGTTCAACCCTTCATTCATATAATACTATGGGTTGGAACGGAGCTTTGAGATCATCCAGTGCCAACGCCCTGCCCTGGGCAGGGACACCTCCCATCAGAGCAGGTTGCTCAAGGCTTTATCCAACCTGGCTGTGAACACAGCCAGGGTTGGGGCAGCCACAGCCTCCCTTGGCAACCTGTGCCAGTGTCTCACCACCCTCACAGGGAAAACTTCTGCCTAATATCTAGCCTAAATTTCCCTCTTTCCATTTCTCCCCACTGCCCCTTGTCCTGTCCCTGCAGCTCCTAACCAAGGGTCCCTCTGCAGCCTCCCTGGAGCCCCTTCAGCTCCTGGCAAGTTGCTCTGAGCTCTCCACATAACCTTCTCTTCTCCAAGCTGAACAGCCCCAAGTCTCTCAGCCTGTCCTTGTAGGCAAGGTGCTCCAGTGCTCTGATCAGCTTTGTGGCCTCCTCTGGCCTTGCTCCAGCAGTTCCGTGTCCTTCTCATGTTGGGGACACAGAACTGCGTGTAGCCCTCCAGGTGGGTCTCAGCAGAGCAGAGCAGAGGGGCAGCATCCCCTCCCTGCCCTGCTGCCACACTCCTGTGCAGGCAGCCTAGGACTGGGCTGGCTTTCTGTGCTGTGGGCAGTTTCTCATCTACCTTATATAGGTTTCTTATAGGTTCTTATACAGATTTCTTATATACCCTCTATATTTAGGAAAGTTTCATTTCTAGTCCAAAACGCATTCTGCTACGTCTCGGACACATTTCACATCACTGCACACCTCCTGTGACTCAGAGTGAGGTGTGAGGCCATTCCCCCTTGGCCTGGCACTCCAGGCCCTTGTGCAAAGCCTCCCAGCAAAGCAGTCAAGACATATAACGTGGTCCTTATACAAACATGGATCATCACAGAATAAACCACGTGCCAGACCCAGGCACTGCCTTCTTTTGCCCACCCCTTCCCGCTGCTCCGAGCCTCTCCAGCAACGCAGCAAGGCGCTCAGGAGCCCCTTGGCGAGGA